AGAGGAGATAATGCTAGAGGAATGGATGGCAGAGGAGATGCTAGAGGACACGATTCTAGAGGAGACGATTCTAGAGGAGACGAAGAGGTTGATTTATGACAATGACGATGACGATACTGATGTTGACGATGATAACAATGATTAGTGACCTAAGGATACTCATGACAATATCAGTGGCGATGATAATAATAGTAATAATAATCATCACGAAAACGAAGACGATGAGGATGATAATGACGATTGTGATGACCACAACTAAGTGAATCGTGATGTCCCGATGTTCGAAGATCGCCATACAGATGTTGCTGACGTCATGCATAAATTATGTGCAAAATATGTGCTATGCTAACATGATGTTTATATGCTTGGATTATCGCGATGTATGAATGTTATTTATGATTCGTAGGAAAGCTTGAATAGTGGAAAGAGGAAGAGTAAGGCGAAAAGTAGGGTAATGAAAGCACGAGTAAAATGGAGACGATAAAGGAAGATAAGCAGAGAGATAAAGGAAAGGAAGCAGAAAGGAAATATAGATAAGAAAAAGAATAGGAATGTGTAAGGAAACGGTAGCTAGCAGCGTACTCAGCGTTCATCTAACACATTGAGGGTCTGCGGTTCGATCCTCCATGCACGGGTGGAAACGTTGGCCACGTTTGGTTGCACTTGCTGCCCCTGTTTACCTAGCAGTAAGTAGATACCTGGGTGATAGTCAACTGTTGTGGGTGGCATCCCAGGAAGTGGGGATGGTAGTATACCTCAGATAGGGCTGGGCTTTAAAATGAATCGACGTAAGAAAACAGCTCTTGGCCTGGAAAACTGATCAGTGTAAAAACAAAAACAGTAGGAGAATAAGAAAGGAGAGAAAAAATGAAGTTGTGAGATTTGAAGAGCACTTTGACTAATGAGATCACTCAGCGCTCTGGCCAATAACACGAGAACACAAACTTACATAAGAGCACCCAGGGTAAAAATTAACAAAAAAATACCATCGCCGTCAAACGCACGGCAACAATAACAATACCAATTGAGGTTACCAGAGATAAAATGCTGATACAGAGCACAGAAAAGATTCACTATATAAGGAGCATGAAATAATTGTAGGTCAGACTAGAGTCAGAATTCGATCGAAGACTAAGGTTATAAATTATACAATGGAGGCATAGCAGCAGCAGAGAAGAGGATGGGAGAAGAAACAATCGTAAAGTTAAAGACATCAGTGGCTAAAACAGCTTGGATGTCAGCAGCATCAGTAGCGTCAAAAGCATCAACAGCGTTAGCTAGAGAGGCATCAATAGCAGGAGAGGAGGGTAGGAGAGGCAACGACAGTAAACGAGTTAAAATTAACTGTCACATGGTAAAACTAATTCAGACTTAATTTCTTTCAACATTATACTGCATATTACTGTGACAGAACAGCAGTGTAACCATAACTGCCACAATCACTAGACCAGTCAGCGGGAATGTTTATGTTGCTGACATACAAACACCTGTCAACGAATCTACAAAAGCTATCATATTTTCTGGACATCAGCCAGTGTACCTGCAGCAAACGAATATTACTAATACCAAATAAGTTCTTCACTTGGTCATAAAACTCTGGCTTGAAATTTGTGTATTATCAGGAAATCATTTTGAAATTGTCCAAGATTTTAAAATTTATAAATAACACCTCACCTCTGTCATAAATAAGATTTAAAAACTCTGTGAATAACAGACTCGTGGACACATTTTAAAGACGAGACATGTAGGATTGTTGTGGGAAACTTCTGTTATACCCTGCCACACCTTGACTCCTTCCCAGTATAGTAGCTCCATCACTGTTGTTAGTTAAATACAAGGTAAACATGAGAAGAGTATCTAACCTCCCATTCTCCTTTGTCCCAAAATGTAATATTTCTTTTTCCTTCTACCCAGTGTTTACCAGTCCCCTCATTCTCTTCACCAAGCTCCCCTTGTGTGCTGGAGGAGGGCGTGGGAGTCAGCAAACATAAAGGGGGTGGGATGAGGGAGGAGTCTGCTGGGAAGATGGAGGAAGGTAGAGGGGGAAGCATAGGTTAAGGAACAGAGATTGATAAAGTAGGTAGAGGAGGTGAATGAGGCTGTATGATAGATGGATAAAGAGGTAGAGGCAGATTAAGGGTGATTAGTCTTGGAGGAGTAGGTACAGGAAATGGAGATGGAGGAACTAATAACACGAGAAGGAGAGGCAAAACGTAAAGATAATATTTTAATTATTATATTCAGAGAGCAGAGCTAACCAAGCAAGGGTCGTACAGTGCCTAAAGAATAAGAGGTAATCAATCAGATTTGATCGAAAGAACGGGGTGATAGCTTCTCTTCCTTGGATGAGTAACCCTTCACCGGCATTTATGCACCCCTCCACGATGTAGGTGAGGGAGGCGCGTGGGTAAATGTGTTGTTCAGAAGGGCAGGTTTAGCTGGGAGGAGCAAGATGTAGTGGAAGGGGCAAGATATAGTGGGAGGAGCAAGCGAGGGTTGGAAAGGGAGTGAATTGGTGTAGAGAGAGGGACAAACAAGGGAGGTTTTCGGTTGGAAGTGGTTAAGTAGAGAGGATGGGACCAATGGGAATTAACAAGTATGTAGCAGTGATCAGTGATGGCAAATCTGTAAGTTAGAGCTACCTTCGTCACCGTGTTAACTTTAAACTTCCCTAGTACAGTAGCACAAGATACCCGTATTGTATCCACTTTAATGTGGTACACAACTTATCATAAACGTACCTGGGAGCCTCATATGTGACAGCTTTGTTTAGTTCGCTCAGCCATCCTGTAACTTGCTTAGTTAAAGTTTAAAATAGTTAATGAAATCAGAGTTGGTTTTCCAGGTATAGCCCAAGTTTGTTTAATTACATTAATTATGCACCTGCAAAAAATTTGTTTTATGTGTATATGATTTTTTTTTTGCCTCGTATGAAGATGCCATGTTTCAATGGACATCAAATTGACCAGCATTTATGCTTGCATTAGTATCGTTAGAAGACATTTATATGTACATTATCATACACAAAGTGTACGAAAGTCGACTGTGGCGTGGAAAGTCGGGTTACATGTAATAACCAAGTATTTTATTTAACTTTAGAAAAATGTTCATGTTTGCTTGACTAACATTTACTCAGTCAAGAGAATTTTATCCTAGCGTCGTCTCTGTCTGTCTCGACTCTTTCTTTTTAATATTTTTTTTACTTCTTGATATTTTTATTTAAGTTTTCCGTCACTCTTCCCGTCTTCTCTATCCCTTCACATGTCCCTTTACCTCCATACTCCTTCCCTCTCCCTCTTTCCCTCATTCTCTTCTCTCGCCCTCTTTCTCTCATTTATCTCTCTCCATCTTTCTCTCGTTCTCTGTCTTCCTCTTTCATTATCTCTCTCTCTCTCACTCCCTACTACTCTTTCTTTACAGATAAGGATTTCATAGGGTTTCCAAGATGCATTTCAGATGGTAAGATGGTTAGTCAGATGACAGAGACAGATGACAGACAACTCAAGAACATGGAGCGTGTTCGAGGTGGGAGCAAACTTGATCCTCATATAAAATTTTATAGCCTTTGTTGTCAAGCAAGTATAAGATGGCCCCTTAATGTTTTAAGTTTGTTTCTTGCAATATTACATGATTCTTCACAGTAACTTTAGAGTCCAGTTTCACTCAACGCAGATCAGTTTCATCGCAGAGTGTGATGTCTCAGACGTTCATCATCATTTCTCCTCCAGTAGTAATGGCATGTTTTCTAGTTTCTTTTTCTCTTTTTCTAAACCTCATTGACCCTTCCCTAAATAACATTAAGATGTATATACTGGGTCCAACTGATGGTATCTTTCAGATTCCGCTACGAGTAATTGAAATAACACCACACACACACACACACACACACACACACACACACACACACACACACACACACACACACACACACACACACACACACACACACACACACATACACACAAACAAACAAACAAACACACAAAGCCTCAAGGGAGTGACAAAGGCCAGTATCTGACCTGCCTTCCACCCTATTCCACCGCCACAACAACACTTCTAAAATATCTAAATGTTTTCCTTGGTTGAACATTTGCACCAAGGGAAGTCTTGGGAGTAATCCACCCACATTTCGTTTACGTCTACCATCGGGTGGGCAGGTTTTACGGCGCAAGGGACGTTCCCGTAAGTACTTCATTTGCATACCATCAAAGAGTTGGAATAGAACATAGAATCTAAACTCACTCTAATAACGCCGATGTTCTGGAGGCTGGATAACCTTTCCTAAGTACGTTAATCGACAACTGTTATGTATTTTACAGGGATAAATCAATCTGATTTTAAGAAAAACTGTCGACAATGTAGCCATCACTTGCCTCTAGATGTGTGTTTGTCTTCTATATATTGTTCTTTTTCTCATCATCATTCTTTTGATAACAATCCTAGTTATTAAAATATTAACCAGATAATCCTCCTCCTCCTCTTCTTAATCCCCATCTTCCTTCTAATCCTCATTTTCTTGTCCTCCCTCTTTCAACTATTTCTAAGACTCATCTATCTGAAATGAAGATACTTTTGGTGATTATTATTTTGCTATGTCCCCTCTCCATCTATTTTATCCTTTTTTTTCTTCGTCTCTCATTCTCTGACCCTTATATATATATATAATATATATATATATATATATATATATATATATATATATATATATATATATATATATATATATATATATATATATATATTAGGAACAACACGAAAACATTAGATGACAAATCACTAACTTATCAGTAAAAAATTAAGTAACAAATGCTATTAAATAAACCAATGAATAAAAAGGTAAATTCCACATGAGAGGAAACTTGACTCTGGCAGACTGATAGGGCAGGGGTCATTAGCTGACTGGTGATGACACCGTGGGAGGGATGGCACAGGTGCCAGGCACTCTCAGCCGCTCTATATAAGCTACCCACTTGCACACCAGGAGTCAGTGTCTCTCTAGCCCTGGAGGCGAGAGGGTGGTGGTGGTGTATGTGTGGGTGTGCACGCGCGCCTGGAGCGCTCTTCTCTATACTTTCTCTCGCATGAAAACAAGGAAGAAAAATATAGTCCACGTCTGTGAACAAACTTTGGGTCTCCTACCGTGCATGTAAATTCGCCTCGTGAGCCTGATGTCAAAAAGAGTACACAGATTCAATTCTTACTGTATCTCCGCGTTAATAATATTTTCTTTTTGACGAGTACAATGATCTAGATAACTTGTAACAGACATGAAGCTGCTATTTGACGAGTAAGTCTTTAATACGAGAAGACAATTAACTCATGATGGAACCCAGGATGATCTCAGTGTCTGTTTAGTCAACAAACACGCATTGAAAAA